TGCCATTAATGAGCTCTCTCTTGCCCTTAATGAAGCTCTAGTTGCTCAACATCTACAAGGAATTTTGCTTGGACCAAATTGCCCTCCTATCCACTCTCTGTTGTTTGCAGATGATCTATTGGTTTGTGGCCAAGCTAATATGCAGGAAGCAAATTCTATGGCTCAACTCATTCATCACTTTTGTTCTATTTCAGGTCAAACTCCAAATTGGGCCAAATCGGCTATTCTTTTTAGTACTCATGTCAGTTAATCTTCTATACATGAGATTAAGCAAGTTTTTCCTGTTTCTACCATGAACAACAATTTCCCTCATCTTAGTCATCCTCTTATTCTTCCTGCTAAAAATAGAACTGTTGCATATAACTTTGTTCTGGATAAATTCATGAATAAATTGTCGGCTTACAAAGCTAATATGCTTTCTCATGCTGCTAGGCTTGAATTGATTCGTTCTGTTTTCTCTGCTATTCCTGTTTATTATATGGCTAACATTTTGTTCACTAAGAAGTTTATTGCAAAACTTACTGCTGTTATTAGGAATTTCTGGTGGACAGGTGTTAGGGAAAAGGATTCCAGAAGAAGCCTTTGCCTTAGAGCATGGAAAGACATATGTGATTCTAAGAAAGAAGGTGGGCTGGGCATAAGGAATTTGCAGGCTATTAATGAGAGTCTCATTATTGCAGCAGCTTGGAGAATTGCTAAATCACCTTCTTCTCAGGTGTACTTCATTCTCAAAGCTAAATACTTTCATGACTCTTCTATTTGGACAGCAATTTCTTCTCTGCCTAAATTAGCTTTCTGGACTTCTGTTTTGAAGATGCTTCCCAAGTTGAAAGTTCATTCTTTTTATCAATTAACCCAAGGTAACATCTCTATTTGGAGCACACCATGGTGTAGTCTTTGGGCCTCTATCCATGATCATCTTATTATTCAAGAGTCTGGCTTCATATATCCTTCTTTAGTTTGGGACCTTTGGCCTCCTGGTCAAAAAGCTTGGAATTGTGCTCTAGTTAATTCTCTTTTTCAGCATCCATTGGCCTCTGTGATTCTCCAAACGGACATTATCTATGATGATGGTCCAGATATGCTTTGTTGGGATCTTTCTTCTAATGGTATTTGTTCTTCTAAATTTGCTTATAAGTTTTGTTTGCAAGAAATTCATGAAAATCCCATGGCTGCTCCTTCTTCAGTGTCTTTGGAGGTGATGGACTTTCTTAATTTGATCTGGAAACAAAAGCAAATGTTACCCAGAGTTAAAACTTTTGCTTGGAGACTCTTTCGGAAAGCTTTGCCTACAGGTTTAAGGGCGGTTGTTTTTTCACTCATATTTCTCAGGCTTGTTGTAGGTGTGGTAAACAAGATGATGAATTCCATTTGTTCTTTTTGTGTGATTTTGCTCATGCGGCTTGGTTCTCCTCTCCTTGGTTCATTAGATCATATGTTTAAATTCATGGCCATACTAGTTTGCATTCCTCTATTTCTACCTTTCTTAGCATGTCTCGTCCACATGTCTCTATCGAAAATATTCTTAATTTTTTGTGGTGTCTTTGGAAGGCTAGAAATGATTTTCTTTTTGATCGGAAAAAAGCCCTCCCTCATCATGTGCACATTGTTGCAAAAGCCTTGTCTTATGATTTATATGATGTTTCTAATCATATGTCTAGCTTGCAGGAGGTGCCTCAAGTTCAACTTTCTCCTGATCAACTTCCTCTGCACGGAAAGACTCTTAAATCTGATTTGCTCGTTGTCGGTCCTAAAATATACTCTGATGCAGCTTTCAGATGTTAGAAAGTTCCAGGATTGGTGCAAGGTTCGGTTGCTACTGGAGTTGGAGTCTATCTTTCGTGGCCTCAAGATCAAATTGAAGTAAATGTGCAAATTCAGGCTTCAGCTCCAGCTACATCTTCTCCAATACAGGCAGAAGCATTTGCACTTTCTTTTGTGGCTCATTTGGCTAACAGGCTTAACATTATTCACCCAACTTTTCGTATGGATTGTCTATCCTTGGCCTCATTAGCTGCATCGGGTGAGATTGTGGAAGCCAATACCCCATGGAGCATCCGGAAGCTTTTGGGTGATTTCTTCAAGCAAGTGCCAAATTTGCAACCTCAAGTGTTTCATATTTCTAGGGAAATTAGTGGAATCGCTCATAATGCAGCTCATCAGGATCTATGTTCTAATGTTGAACCTGAAATATGTTGCTTTTCTTCAGCTCATAGACATATATCTTGCCCTGTTGTTTCTCTCCTAGATACATTTCAGGTTCAGGGCTTTGTAATTCATGCTGTAAGATGCTACTGAGCTGAATGAATTTGGCGCTTCGTGCGCCTTTTGTTGTTCAAAAAAAATGCCCATGAGTTGCAATGAAAGAAAAAATGTCTCTACATCCTTTTTATTTAATGAACAGTAAAATTTTCAAAAAATTAGAAAATGACTTTGTATTTTCAAAGGGAAAAGCAATGTTTTATTTGTGTATTTGTTCAGATTCTATTGAAATTTTACAACACTTGTGTCAGATCTGCTGCTCTCACTCTCTAGCGCCGCGTCAATCTCCTACTCGGCCGTCTATTCACGTCCATGGCCTTGTGTATCTGCATCTGCTCCCATTTTCCTACTGTCTTCATGTCTCCCATAGGGGAACGAAGTTAATTTCTTCCCTCTTAATATTTGTGCTCAAACCGAACCTACTCTTTATCTCTTTCTATTAATTCTTTCAATTTTGCTAAAGCACATCTAGATGTGCTATAAGTATTGCACATCTAAGTCCTATGTCATTGATCTTATTGTTGAGATTCGTGTAGATATTTTCTTTTTCATTTTTCTCTTTCTCTCTATGCTTAATTCACTCATTTAGATGTGCAATAACTAGAGCACATCTAGATGTGCCCTAGACACACCCTAATTCTTTATAGGAGGCTTACTGATTTCAAATCCTGGATGTATGTAAATTTGTGTAAAAGGATGCAAAGCAGCGAGGTGGGACTAAATGGTAGCGAATCATATATTCTGTACACAAACACGTGCTAGCTAAGTTGGACTTTGCGTTTCAAACTGTATGTGAGGTCGGAGTTCCGATCCCACGCGCCAGCGTTTATTTTTTGCCTCCTCTGCCGCGCAGTCCTGGGCCGCCACTGTAGTTGGGCCAACTGCTACAACGTTGAGGAGCACGTGTGTGATGTACGGGCAGCTTGGATAAAAAATATATAATATGAGCGAGGTGAACGGACAAAAAAGAACAAAATTACGGTGGTAAGAAACACTACTCCCTTTATTAGTACTAGCACATAGCACATTTGCTCGTGCGTTGCAACGGGAGACTCTGGATCGACACAACCTTTTCCGAACACCTTGGAGGGTTGCTCGTCCATTATTAGGAGCTTTATGAGTGTGGCCGAGTCTGAAAATCGCATGCTCCTCCGGTCCCTAGAGCGACACCGTGATTTATAGGGTTAGTTCGTATCTTCTATGGCATTTTGGCCGCTGTTTGACTCGTCATCATCCTCTGAGTCACCTTATATTGTTTTCCTTTGGTTGATCTAATAATTTAACAATCTTCCTCTTACAGCTGCAGCTATTGATTATGAGATTATATGAAACTATTGATTATGAGATTATTATACGCTACCTGGACGGGCCGTGGGCATATCACTGCACACGCGATAGCTGCAGCTGCTCCGCATGCCCATGTCGCCACCGCACCCTGCCCGCGGCATACTACGACTGTTTTGCTCCCTGAAAAGACCTGAATCGACATATCTTTCAAAATGGACCAGGCGCCCTTAGAAATCACAGGTAGGAGCCAGCAAAGGTGGTTCCCACTTGCCAGTGCGAGCATCAACTTAGGAAGTCAAGGGCCGAATCCCAACACCCCTGTCTGTTCAGGTCAAAAGGAACCAGGCGTCATTTAAGAGCACAACCATTACTAGTAGCGTACTGGTTGCAAGGTGAGACATTGCACACCAGACTAATAATATAGGATCGAATCCATGTGCGAGCCCTTTATTTTAATATTTTTTTCTCTGTTTAATAATCTGAACACACACGTGTCTGACTTACGAAAAATCATAATAGGATGGAAAAAAGTGGAAAACAAAAAGGAAATTGATGTGTTTTTTTTGAAACTAAAGGAAATTAATGTGTTTGTGTGCAGGTTGGACTCTCATCATACTATAAAAAGAGAATGGATTGTCCATAGACGTGTCAATGATAAAACTGTAGGTTCTATACATGTTTTTATTTTACGTAACATTGTGTAGATCTACCTTTAAATCCTAATCGTCAATCTTTATGGTTAACATAAAATCAATGAATATAATTGCATGACTTATGAAGAACTATGAAAGCTTCCGTCTTTTATTATTAGGTATAGATTTTGTTTGAACGGTCACCGGGGAGGAAAGGATCCCCACCTGAAAATATTGCTCAAAAAGCTGCCAAAGCCAAGAGTCGCCCCTTAAGCTTTGGCTGATCCAGTTTATAAGGGAAACCGGATCGAAAATCTAAACAAGTTGACCCCGTTTATGAGAAAAACCGGGCCAAAAACCGTACAGGTAACAAGGTTACAGAAGAAGAGAAAAAAATTGATGCCCAGGAGAAGACACAACCTAGCTAGCATGCAAAAAGACCAACACCACGAGATATACAAGTAGATGTGGGGTGTTGTTGAGGGATCACAATGCCAAGATTGTGCAAACAACCTAATGCACCGCACCGGTGTGCGTACCGAGCCTCACGGCACAACAGAGGATCATCCATAATCAACGAGTGCCAAACCATAACACGAACCTTGACTGGGAGATCCGCCATGAGCGGTCGAGACGATTAGCAGGTTGGGGAGGCATCATTGTGTCATCATTGAGCAAAGGTGAACCAAGACAACACCAAGATCCCGAAGCTTGCCGCAGCACAACGAGAACCATGGGAGGGTCTTGAGCATGCACAACAACAGTACGAAGACCACGCGAAGGACAACCGAAGAGAAATCACATGAAGAACACACCAACATGGATGACACACTAAATGATGGGCATGGGCGGATGGATGGTGGCGAAGGGCTCAATGAGGAGGCAATGTTGGCGATGGTATGGGGAGGACGGGGCGGAGATGAGTGGATTGAAGGAAAATGGAAAGGTCACACAGAGTGTGGAGAAGTTCACCATACAGACGTGAAGTTGCAAACCGCGCCGTCGACATGGAGGAGAGCCAAAACTAAGCAGGTACAACTCAAAGACCACGCCTCCAGGAAGGAAAGCGACATCGGATTAGCGTCGCCGTGGTCAGCTGACACACGGGTCAGCAGGGATTTCTCCCAAAGCTAGTGCCAGATCAAGGCCGACATTGTCAGAGCAACTCCGACAGCCGAAGCAATGCAAATTGACGATCAACGGGCCACCGTCCATAGGGGGCGAAGGAGAGGCAGGCGTGGGGTGATGGAGAGTCGAGGAGCCGGCAGGGGGTGGGATAGCACGCAATGGAGCGCAGGGGCGAAGACGGCCAGGTCGAACACTGCACATGGCAGATCCGATGCACACATGCTTAGTCGTCGATGCAGGGGACCTCAAAGGCACAACCAGCCGACGTAGACACTCCGGACTCGCCCAAGCACCAGAACCAGCGCAAGCACTGGGGATGAAGCAGAGCAAAGGAGGTCGGGCTGCCACCCCGCACCACCTAGGCAGGACGAGCAGGCAGACCAAAACCCGCACAAGGCGGGGAGCATGGATCCCGCAGCCGCGGCACACCAGCCCGGAGTAGAGGAGGGTCGATGCGGAGGATGGCGGCGCAGGTCGAGGACGCCGACGACCACAGTGAAAGTGGACGTTGCGCGGCAGCGCGAGATGGGCGAGGCAATAACAGGGGGTGGAGCGTCAGCGCGCAGCAGGGCTCGGAGCATGCCCAGAGAGTTGAGGACGAGATGGATCTAGATCTGGCGAGTGGAGATGGACTGGGGAGGGTCGCGGCCGCGGGCCGCGTGCGCCCTTGCCGCCGCCGCCAGCTTTGGGCTTTGCCCTTAGGCGTCCTCCGGCGACGGCGAGTAGGGAATGGGCGGCGCGGCTGCTCCTTGTTGTTGGCGGCGGCGGGGGCCTCGGGAGTCGCGAGAGCGACCCGGGAGGCAGCAGGCACTCCCTTTATTAGTAGGTATATATATAGATAGATATGGAAAAGGAAAATTTGTGTTCCTTTCTATAAACTGAAACTACCTGATTCTTGTACAATAGCAAATCTAGCGGTTTAATCCTATATTCGTACTGTTGATTATCACTCTCGAAGGAGAATCATACCTAAGGTGTCGTATGTATAGCATACAAACAATGATTAAGGCGTAAACTAGGGAGGCCTCACCATGCAGGTGCCCCACGAGGAAAAGTAGCACGGTATCTAAACCCTATTACGGTTCTATCGTCCTGGAAGAGTTAAGGTGGGATATAATTTGCATCATGATGTCTGTGGAGACTATGAACCTACTAGATACGGTTATATGGAGAGTTAAGGTGGGACATGAGTACATCACGATGTCTAAGGATGCAATCTAATAGATCGTTCTATCAAGTAGTTGGGCCATAATTTCTTACCATAAAAATTGCTGCATATGCAGCAGCACCGACTATTAGAAATCCATCAATCCGCATGTGGTGTGGAATGAATTCCACTCCCATTCCTTGGAGTTGACATGTTCACATCATCACATGGCAAAGAATGACTCAAGAACACCTAGACGGGGGTATGTCCAATGCTCCATGGAGACAATGGTACTCGGAGGCGGCCATCATGCATTTAGGCTTTGGGAACTCTGATCATAGGCCTCTTATATTGGATACAAAATATCATAGAGAAGATCCAGAAAGCGTTGTTTTTATGTTTCCATTCCTTTGTTTGAGGGTAGTGTAAGTCTCGCCCAGTGGCCACAGAGAAAGGCAAAAAAAAAAAAGAGGAAAAGGAAAAAAAAGATATAGCGACGCCTGAGAGATTCGAACTCTCGCGGGGAAACCCCATGTACTTAGCAGGCACACGCCTTAACCACTCGGCCAAAGCGTCACTTGGTGACTCCAACATGTTCCGCCCATATCTATACCGTACATTTGGTTCCAAAAGGACTGGCAGCCTGGCACCGTGGCACGGTATCGAAACCCTTTTTTTTCCGAGTAGTATCTAAACCCTACTCGCCCCACTCCCCAACCCCAGACACCACAGCCAGCAATCAGACCATGGACGGCGGCGGCGGCGGCGGCGGGCGGCCAGGCCAGCCTGCGGCGGCCGGAGGAGGGGCGTCGGGCCCGGACGAGCCCCGCGACGCGCGCGTGGTACGGGAGCTCCTCCGCTCCATGGGGCTCGGCGAGGGCGAGTACGAGCCGCGCGTCGTGCACCAGTTCCTCGACCTCGCCTACCGCTACGCCGGGGACGTGCTCGGCGACGCCCAGGTCTACGCCGACCACGCCGGCAAGCCCCAGCTCGACGCCGACGACGTCCGCCTCGCCATCCAGGCCAAGGTCAACTTCTCCTTCTCCCAGCCGCCGCCCCGCGAGGTAAGACCGCCACCACCACAAACCCTAGTTTCTATCTGTGTCTTCCTTCAATTCGGATTGGTCACCAGATCCTACGAACTGGTGCACAACGCGCAATTAACTCTGGTACTTACCTTCAATTGGTGTTTGACGAGGAGAAGGGGCCACATTAAACCCTAGATCAGGGGGAGTAGTGCTGTGAACTTCAACCGGGGAAATAATAGCCATAACAGAGGATGCGCAGATGTATTGCGGAAGGAACAAAAACTGATCTGTGCTTTTGAGATTTCAGTTAATTGCTGGGTCTTGGCTGAGAGATATTTTTGGGGAAAATTTAATTTCAGATGAGGGTGGATACTGGATTAATTGGATGTGTTCCCCAATAAGAACACATCAAAGCCCCAGATATGGTGGTTGGTCAGAAGCCGCCATTCGTGACGCACGCAGAGATTGCGGTTTCGAGTCCTCGAACTCGTGACGAGATGCCGTTTTGTCCACACTTGTACATGTCCGAGGGACCAACATATCAGTCAATGCTGTACTGAAATTATTATAATTAAAACATATGATTCGAACCCAGATTCATCTCAAGTAGCAGTACTCTAGCACTCTACCACTTATACCAAGATGACAACTTATCCCTTAGGAAGCTGGAATTGAATCTGGTGGGGTAGCCAGGGCGTGCCGACATTTGGCCTGAGATGCAGCTAACCACTTGCCCTGAGAAAGAAATAATAATAATAAAAATCTACGCCTGAGAGATTCGAACTCTTGCAGAGAAACCACATGTACCTAGCAGGCCCACGCGTCAACCACTTGGCCGAAGCGTCTGTTGGTGTTATCATGACCTTCTGGAGCTACATAGTAGTATCTCTTTTGGTCCAAAAGTAGGTTTTGATATCTAAACCCGATTTGTTCCCCAAAACCCCATCAGCTATAGCAGATCATGCAAGCAAAGTCCAGGTGGGGCATAAGGTTGACATTCAATTTAGTCCATGTCTTGTTAGGAATGTTCAGCTGAGCCCATGTCTTGTTTGGAAAGTAGACTGTGTATCTACTTAAGGGTCCAAAAACTCAGGAAACATGCACAAGTAGTTCCATATACACAATGTAAGCGTTGAGAATCAAATACAAAATAAATGCCCTCTTCTGTTAGTGCAGTGATGCTGATTGTACTGTAGCAGCTGTCCTACCGTTGGAATTGGAAACAAGATACTCGGTTTCTTTTTTAGTTACCTTTACTCTTAAGATATATTATGTGTGTTATTGATAACTTTCATTGGATTTGACCCTCTTTATGGGTCAACTCAAATAATTGCATAGAAGGGAAAGCATCTGTTAGGTCCTCTAGACCGGAGGATATTCCTGTGGCCAGGAGGCATTTGAGGGCTGGCAAGGAGGCACCATAGCCAGTGCACATAAGAAAGGCAACGGGATATCAGGGAATAGAGATGAAGGCGATCTATACTCTAAGCACTACTTACAAAACTAATGCTGCATGAAAAAACTGTTATGGTTATGGCGTAGAAATAGAGCAAACCAACACTGAAAGAATGAAGGTATTGAAGAAGAAAAAGGCATGGCTAAATTCCAAGTAAAGAGAGGAACATGGCACAAGAAGCTTACCACCAAAGTGAGGACCAAAGGTTGCTGCTGTGTAGCACGAAGCCAGGAATGCAGACAATCTGAAGTGAGCGGCCATCCAAGGCTTTACTTACAGAAAGGGATCATTGTGAATCCATTGCAGAGTAGAGAGAAATAAGCCACCGAGAAAAATAAATAAAAAATTCGACGCCTGAGAGATTCGAACTCTCGCGGGGGAACCCCATGTACTTAGCAGGCACACGCCTTAACCACTCGGCCAAAGCGTCTCTTGTTTCTAAATTATGTTTAACATTTACTTTCAGAGCTAAACCTGATTCTCTCCATTCGGGCGATGGCACCTTTCCTAGTAGCCTGCCATTAGGGCCAAGACGAGTCCATTATCCTTTAGGAAGTTGGAATCGACCGAACTTTTGCCAGTTTGATGGGTGACCTGGGAGTGTCGAGATTTAAATCCACCCGGGTGCAGCTATAAGCAGATGATGCAAGGAGAGTCCAGTTGGGCAGAAGTTTGACGAGCTATAATTCAATTTACCCCATGTCTTGTTAGGAGTGTTCAGCTGAGCCCATGTCTTATTTGAAAAATCGAATGCTTATGCTCAAGGGTCCAAAATGTTATGAATCATGTGCAACTATTTCCATGTACACAATGTAAAGAATCAAGCAAGAAATAGATACCCTCTTCTGTTAGTGCAGTGATGCTGCTGATACTGTGGCAGGCGTCTTACTGTTGGACTTAAAAACAGAACACTCAGTTTCTTTATTAGGAGGCTTTACTCTTTAGATATATTATGTGTATTATTGATAACTTTCGTTAGATTTGGACACTCTTCACTGGTCAAAGTCAAATAATCACATAGAAGGGATATCAGGGCATCTGTTAGAGCCTCTAGACTGGAGGGTATGCCTGTGGCCAGGAGGTGCTCTGACAAGGTATCGGCAAGAAGGCACCAAAGCCAGCGCAGAATCAGAAAGGTGACGGGGTAGTGGGGAATAGAGATTAGAGGAAGACTCCTTTGCTGATAAATTGCATCAGTTACCGCAGCTAGGGGATCTTTATATAGGCAACTCAAGACTAGTGCCCTGGGCGAGTACAAACTTGAACTGCTGCAGAACGTGACTGCTGCTGGTTCTGTTGAAATGACTCTCATCTTAGGGAACAAAATATCATTTCCTTAATACAGAACTCTTACTGTAGCATATTCTGACTCAGGTGTGGCTGTTGTGGCCTGTGGGCTTCCTCCTCTGGTACGGAGTTCCCCACATAACATTCCGTAATGACGGTTACCTACCAATTCACTAATACACTGGTGCCGCACTCCCACACCCTCCAATTCCTCGGGAACAGGGTAATCCATGGCTAGATTTATAGGAAAACATGAAACAGACAGGGTATGATTCTTAATGTGTATGAGGCTGGCATCTCAAGATATACCTAAAATGTTGATGAATAATGTCAGGTAGTACAAAGATATTAGAGATTGTGGGTCGTCCACAAGGGTACTCGTGTGTTGGCTGCTAAGATATACCTAAAAAAGATATTGCGTATGTGGATAAAGGCTATGAACAACTCTTTTGGTTATGCTTTGAAGTCAATAAGTGCCTGTTTTATCGTTTGCCTGGAAATTCTAAGTTGACACAAAGTACTCTATATGCATAGGTGGGCTGACAAGTCATTTTTCTGATGTCGCAGGTTCTACTCGAGCTGGCACGCAGCCGGAACAAAATCCCGCTGCCCAAGTCCATTGCTCCACCCGGCTCGATTCCACTGCCACCTGAGCAGGACACCTTGCTGAGCCAGAACTACCAACTCCTACCTGCATTGAAGCCGCCAACTCAGACCGAGGAAGCAGAAGATGAGGAAGAGGGCGCCAACGCAGACGCGGCCAATGCTAAGGATCAGAGGGGCAACGAGCAGCAGCAGCAGCCTCAGAGCCAGAGCCAGGGCCAGAGGGTTTCTTTCCAGCTTAACGCCGTGGCCGCCGCAGCTGCAAAGCGTCCTCGAATGACGATTGATCAGCTGAACATGGGCTGACTGGCTGTTGTAGATCGTTGGCTGGTCCCTGGTACTCTGTGTCATTGTGTCATTGCTGTTGTAGATCGTTGGCTGATCCCTGGGATCGCTCTTTCTGGCCATCACCCTCCAATTTCACCATTCAGATTGTTCAAAAAAGTAATAATTCACCATGAGAAACGCTGATGCTTGAGGAAAGGGAGCAGCCTTGCAAATAAGTGTGTGTTGTAGCCGTGCACCCCAGGTTGATTTGTTTCTGTCCATTGTTGTCAACTTGGTTTGTTTTGTAGATTATATTTACTTGTCGAACTTGAGCTGTTCCATTGCTGTTTCTGAATACCAAATCAGTGTTCCTATTGTGATTGTCTTCCTAATATACTCTTGGTGGGATGTGATGTGACGCACATTTGGTGGTTAAATTGAGGACCAAAAGATATAGAGGGAGAAAAACAGAGAGAGAGCTGTAGTGTCAAATGCATATGCACAAATTTAGCTGTTTTCTTTATCAGAGTTGGCTTTCTTGTCAGGGGGAGGTGTCTGGATGGGGTGACCGTCTGTGCCTGTACTGTGATGAAGTGGTAAGAGTAAATCCACACCTCAAAAATACCAGCCCGTCTAGCTCAGTTGGTAGAGCGCAAGGCTCTTAACCTTGTGGTCGTGGGTTCGAGCCCCACGGTGGGCGTTCCATTTTTATTTTCTTTTCCTTTTTTTCTTTGGAGGAATCGATTGCCATTTGCAGTTCAGAAAATGCTGTGCTGGCCATTGCGTTCAGCCCCTAACTAAAAGGGCACCGATACGCGCCGGCCGAAACGTTTCGGCCGGTCGCACGCTAGCCGTACGATCAGCCCGTCTTAAGCCATTGGATCCTTATCCACCAGGTCATCTTCTTCCTTCCTTGTTTCTCCTCCGCGCGTAGGTTGCCGTCTGGCAGTCGCCTCTCTCCCACGCGCCCCGCAACAGCTGTTCCTGCCCTCTCCTCCTTGCCTCGCCCCCGCGAGGCTCACCGCCGACGCGGGCCACACGACTCCGACGAGAGCTCACGGATTGCAGCAAAAACCAACGCCTTCACGTCTTCGGCGAGACCTCGCCATGCCATCCGCTCGCCCCAGTTCCAGTCGCCCCCCTCCTCCCTGCCTCCCCCAGCATCTATGGCCGCCATCTTCCAAAACCGCCCCCGCATCTCGCCGTTGCAGCTTGGCGCCCCAATCCTATTCGGCGAAACTCATCGTGGTCACCGTCGTCGGGTACCATTTCACCTTGGTAGCAAAAAGCTCGGTGGTCGAAGCTTTTTTCTTGTCGGTTGCAACAAATGAGGACGTTCGCCGTCGTCGCCGCAGAAACCAAATCACACGATGCAGCAAATCACATGCCCGCTTCCAGCTCTAGTTTTGACGGTTGCAACAAATCATGTGCTCCGTTGCCGTCGCCGCAGAAAAACACTCCGGCAATGCAGCAAAAACGTCAGTTGGTTCCAGCTCTAGCTTAGCCGGTTGTAGCAAAACAAAAGGCAGGTTCTAGCTCTGACTCTGCCCAGTGCCACATGGTTTGCTTCGAGCCACCTCCTGGTCGCTAGGTCCGCCGGTCACCGTGGTAACAAAAAAGCTCGCCGTTAGTAGCTTTTGCATTGTCGGTTGTAACAAAATGACGAAGTCCCCCGTCGTCGCCGCAGAAAACACTTCGGGCGATGCAGCAAAACCGCATACTGGTTCCAGCTCTAGATTTGTCGATTGTAGCAAAACCAGATGCTGGTTCCAACATCTCTGCGTTTCACGGTTGTGCCCGTCGCCTTGCAAGGTATGCAGCTCGCCGTCGGAGCAGGAGGGGAGCCGCGGCGTCCAGGGTCGCCATGAGCGCGGCCGCCGCGGAGATGAATGGGGACGAGATGGCCGTCGTGGTGGCGGCGGAGGCTGAGACCATGGATGCGCAAGTGTGTGTGCCTAGGGATGGAGCAGTTTGGGGGAGGGTCCTCTAGCGGTGAGCGGAGCTAGGGCCGACGAGGGCCATGGCGGAGGAGCGCGAGCAGCTGCTTGCGGTGAGGAAGACGAAGGCTGTGGTGGGGAGACGAGGAAAGTTCCTGGATGGATAATAAAGTGGTTGCAGGCCCGTAAGAAACAGGTTGGTTGGCTATGCGCAAAGAGTGGGCGACGCCAGGCTGGCGTGCGACGGATCCGCGTGCGACCGGCCGAGCGCTTCGGCCGGCGCACCGGCTCTAAACGTTTCCCTAACTAAAACCAAGGGGAAGCCACTCCAGTTTATTTACTTCAATTTACAGCGCCAACTTCTAATTTGAACACAGAAGATGAACTGAGCTGTGCAAAGCCGTATTTTACTGCACGTAACTATATTATTCACGCCAAACGCATTTCACATTTTGACTGTTCCCTCGGCTATCAAAGCCACGCCAACTCCAGGTCCCCGAGGCCACCATGGCCGTCGCCGTCTCCTCCCAGTCCGAGCAGCTCCTCCAGATCATCAGCCTCAGTCCCCGGTGCACCGAAATGCTGACCGCCCAAGCCGTCGGCGCCGCTCCACGGGCTCATCATGAAGCCCAGCTCGATGCCCTCCAGATCAAGGTCGATCGAGCCGATCGACAGGCAGTCCCCCAGCTGATCCTCCTCGGCGACGTGCTCCGGCGCCGCACGCCCCTGCTCGTGAAAACCCTCTGCTACCGCCAGCACCGTGTTGGTGCACCGCAGCGCCTTGGTCCGTATCGGACTGCTGCTCGTGCCCTCGGGCGGGGCCTGCGCCTCGCCGCCGGCCTGCGGCGGCAGCGGCGGCTTGGCCTGCGGGTGGTTCGAGCAGCCGGCGCCGTGGGACTGCAGCATCCTCTTGCTCAGGGTGGTGTTCCAGTAGTTCTTGATCTCATTGTCTGTTCGCCCCGGCAGCCGCCCCGCGATCAGCGACCACCTGCCACGGGCCACGTCAACTGTTATCACATGCTGACCCTGAATTAGTAAGCACTTGCAATTGATTAGCAGTAGCGAATTCTAGCTGGCCCTATTTACTTGCGCCTGACAAGGTTAGCTGCAGCTTCTGCATATGTGACAGTCTGACAGAGTGCGTGGTTGTTGTAGGTCAGAGCCTTTTCAAGTCATGGTGTAGATCGATTAGCAGTGGTTGTTGTGCCAAATCCGGGAGGGAGTGGCATTTCGTTCTAGACCTAGCGCCATGGGAGCCTTTTCAAGTTATGGTGTAGATTGTTGTAGTACTCCCTCTGTTCCGAAATGTATGTCGTTGGGGAATATGTTCCGACCAGGTGAAAATGGGCAAATGGACCTTTATGCCCCCAGTTCAAACTTTGAATCTGTCCGTCATCTTCCTCAGCGTCTTCCACCTCCGCCTCCGCCCCGGCACTCCACCTCCGCCTCCGCCCCGGCACTCCACCTCCGCCTCCGCGGCTCCGCCACCTGCCCTCCACCCCCGCGCTCCTCTCCCACGCCAGGGGCTCCTCCCGGCCCCCGCGCGCCCAGGTGGTGCTCTGCTGCCGCCCGCTGGTGGAGACGAGGTGTTGATCTACTGCCGGCCGCTGGTGGAGGCGAGCTGGTGCTCTGCTGCCGCCCGCTAGTGGAGGCGAGCTGCTGCCTACGCGCGCCCAGGGGCTGTTCCTCCCCATGCACAGGTGCTGCTGCCGCTGAAGTCCTCGCCGTTGGGCAGGAGCTGCTTTAGCTGGAGTTCTCAATTTTGCTCTCCTAGGTTCATCTCCTCGCCCATTACTCCCTCTGCATCCGAGTAAACAATTTGATGATCATAAACTTGATGTAATCATCTGTCTTAAATAATTTGAATAATTGCATGTAGTACAATCTTGGAGTAATACTGAAATTTAACACTGAAACTGAACAGTGATATTGAACACTGAAAGATGAACACTGAGTAGAACATGTACTGTCAATACAAGTTTGGACTTGTACTGTCAATACAAAAAATGAGCATGTACTGTCAATTTAGCACAGGTTTGGACTTCTTAGTTTCATCAGTACTCCAAATCAGTAGGAGTATGAATTAATGGGCAAAAATAATTGCTACTCTCATTTCAGGTAAAATTGAGTAGGAATAGGAGTATGAATATCAGGAGCATGAATACCAAGAAGGGTAGTGGTAAAACATAGAGCATGGCCTCCGAAAATTTTACCTCAGCCTTACTTTGAACTCACTATCATTTCTGTACTCCATTATTCCCATAAGAGGGTCTCTTTCACCTGTAACTTGACATGATCAAGTAAACTGTGCACATGGCTATTTTTATTTGAATCTTCAGAATGTCCAAACTTTTAAACACTATGGTATGACTGAACAATCTAAACTGTTTGACATAATTTGATGTAAATAAAATACTCCGGTCATTATTAGTATGCAAATTTGCAGTTAGTGCTTCGAAAAAAACACTATGGGAAATGACTTGAATGGAGAAATGTTGAGATACCAACCTGCTAGCTGAAAGTGCGGCATGCCGGCATGAGAGTGACTGATGCCCTCACACATCTTTTTTCAATAGCCCTTCTTTAAAACAATCTGATGGAAAAAAAATTCAAGGTCACAAGTCATATTACTGTAGGGCTCATATTACTGTAGAAGAGGGAAGAGAGAGAAGAGAGCAAGAATATGGAGGTCACAAGAGGAGTATACTACAGTAGCTCTCCTCTTGTTGCAAGTCCTACACTAAACTACTAAAACTACTGCTTGCAAGTCCTAACATAACAGCAACAATCATCATCATTACTCCAAGTATCCAAGATCGAATAATTAACAGAAAAACAAGATAACCTAACAGAGCAAGATGGAGTAATCCAAGAAAATTAATTGAAAATTGCTGAGTAGTGTTGTGTGCAAGTGCAAGTACTCCAAATTTGTTTGAGTAGCAAATCTTGGAGTACCGGAGGACTCCAAGTTAAATGTACTCAAAGCAAAATTAACTTGGTGATGCATGCTAAACTTGAGAACCATCATCAGTTGGTACACACATCATTCAGATTACACATGATAATTAATTAGGTGCGATAACTAAATAACCCCAGCAGCTACGTTAGTTAGGTGTAGTAAAAACTCCTACTGCTACTGCATCTTTACCAAACAAATTCAGTGACAGAGCTACTCCATTTTACTCAAAATTCAGTATGCAAAATTAACAGTAATCCATACAGCTGCTTCATACTCCAAATTCAGTATACAAATTCAGTATTCATGTACTACTCCAAGTCCTACACTAAACTACTCAAAGATCATTTTCATTTCCATCTGATCATTTAACGTTAAACAAGCAGTGCAAGCAAGAGAATAGTGCAAACAAAGTATGCAATAATGTTGTACTGCTCCAATTGATCATTTTCATTTCCAAAATGTACTGGTGTGCATCTTGAAAGTTCAACCTCTTACCTTGAAAGTTCTTTTTAGTTGCCTGGAGAACATGGATCTCCCAGACCTCAACTACACCCCACCTGCAGAAGATGAAGATGAAATGGACGAAGATGTAAGAGATGAGATGGACGAAGATGTAGGAGATGCAATTGTTCAAGGTAAATGACTCAAATGATCATGAGTAGAGAGTAAACGACTCAAATGACTTGTGTAAATGCATTGTTGTACTCCATTTGATCATATATAATATATTTTCTTTGTGCAGGTGTTGAGCAAGCAGTTCAGAAAAGGGATATCCTAGATGACAAGAAAAGATATGCTGCTTATGTTGCAATGCATACATTGTGCATGAGTAGAGGGGGAAAGTTTAAGAGAGATGACAAGAAAAATATTGCTGATTTCTTTGGAGTGGGTGTCTGGAATATACAAAGGATTTGGAAGAAAGCGATGGAGCAAATTGCTGAAGGTCTAGACGTAGATGTTTCAGGTCAGAGGAAAGGAAATTGTGGAAGAAAGCCGAAAGACATCAATCTAGAGCAAATCCCTACCATCCCACTAAACAGGAGGTCTACTATCAGGTCACTTGCCTGGCAACTCGGGTGCAGCCCTACGACACTCCACCGGAAGTTCATGCTCAAGTTGATAAAGAGGCATACAAATTGTTTGAAGCCAGCTCTAAATGAAAAGAACAAGAAGGATAGAATGAAATTTTGCTTGTCAATGCTCGATGAGACAACAACACAAACTGAAAGGCCAAAATTCAAGACCATGCACAACATTATTCATATCGATGAGAAATGGTTCTATATGACCAAGAGAAAAAGGAACTATTATCTGTTGTATGGGGAGGAAGAGCCTACAAGAACTCTGCAAAACGGCAGTTGTATTGGAAAGGTTATGTTCTTGACAGCGATTGCTAGGCCGAGGTGGGATAATGAAGGAAATGTGACCTTCTCTGGAAAACTTGGAATTTGGCCGTTTGTGAAAGAAGTTCCGGCTCAAAGGAGAAGCGACAACAGGCCCAGAGGAACATTGGAGACAAAGTCAATAAAAGTCAACAGGCAAGTAATGAGAGAGTTCATGATAGAGAACCTGCTGCCAGCAATACAAGCATTTTGGCCTGAGAATGATGCTGGGCAAACCATCTATATACAGCAAGACAACGCTAAGCCTCATATCTTGCCTAATGACCCAGAATTTTTAGCAGCCGTGGAAAGAACTGGACTCGATATCAGACTAATCCAACAACCTGCCAATAGCCCTGATCTGAATGGCCTTGACCTTGGGTTCTTCAGCTCGTTGCAATCTCTAACAGATTGTTTAAGCCCTAGAACGCTTCAGGATCTTATCAAGGGTGTGCTAGATGAATTTGAAAACTATGATGTTTACAAGCTGAACAGAGTTTTCCTATCTCTACAAGCTTGCATGATTGAAATCTTGAACCATGCAGGGGGCAATGGGTATAAAAATACCCCATGCAAACAAGGAAAGGCTAGAGAACTTTGGGATGCTACCTCCAAGACTTACATGCCCTCAAGAGGTATATGCAAATGCCCTGCACAATCTTGGGATAATGGAGAGAGTTGCTTGTTGAGTTGCTTGTCGAGATGCTAGTTCAGATGCTTGAGGAGATGCTTGTTGAGTTGCTTGTCGAGATGCTTGTTGAGATGCTCGTCGAGATGCTTGTTGAGATGCTTGAGGAGTTGCTTGTCGAGATGCTTGTCGAGTTGCTTGTTGAGATGCTTGAGGAGATGCTTGTCGAGATGCTTGAGGA